ATATTGTAACCAAACAGATTAACATAGACCTTGCACAAAATCACCCGACAAGTGATCTAAGTAATATATTTTTGACCTTTTATAAATTATCGACAATATTCTTTTCTTTTTTTTTCCTTTTTGTTTAATTAGCTATCGAGACATCACGATTCACACAGTGAACTATGTTCCATTGCATGTAATAAGAATTTTAATGAAAAAAGCTTTTCTTAATTAATCAATTATAGATGAAGTATTATTATATATATAAATACGTACCTTCTCAACCGTAAGTTTTACTTCACAACCACATAAAAAAGGAAAGAAAGATTATTCAGTTTTTGTATTGTTTTAACTTGCCTTGAAGTCGTCCTAGCTAGTCTCCTAAAAAGTTATAATAGGTCGATTCCTGGAAAACGAAATGATATATAGACATTTTAGTCTCAATTGGAAATGTGTGTACATGAAAATTCTCAATATTGCGCAATTGCGAGAGAAGGAAGATGCCCAAGTTTTTAATTTTTTGCAAAAGTTAAAGAAAATATCAAGGAAAAAGGTTTTAAAAATTTAAAATAATATTATTTATGTGTGAAAACGCGTGTACAACACTTTTTTTACACAAAACTAAGATTGTCTTCGGAAGGGGATATTAATATTACTTTGAACAAAATTAGGTGTGTAGTAGGTCGCCACAATAGTTCGAACGTGTAACTGACTTTTCGGCACAAGTTCGGAGAGAAATTTATGCCTTTTTCCTTTTATTCCACATATTAAACATAAACTAATAATATATAAAATGTAAAATAAAATAAGAATTGTTTGTGTAAAAAACTAAACCAAACATATGAAATATGTTATCCCTCTGTACAAATTTATGCGACTTACTTTCTTATTTAGACAGTCCCAAAAGAGAATGACATATTTCTATATTAAGTAATAATTTAACTATAAATTGATTATTTTACCCTTAATGAAATAATTTACAACCACACAATTTTTTATCATTCATTTTGGACCACAAGTTTTAAAAGTCTTCCTATCTTTCTTAAATTCCGTGTTGAGTCAAATTACCTTACATAAAATGGGACAGAGGGAATAGTAATTAATTAGTCATGAATATATTGATAAATATGTATAAATGGTAAGGGTACTTTTATATTGACAAAATAATTTTATACTTTTGTTTCTACTTAGTTTAAGAAACTGAAATTTTTATTTTTTTCCGAATAACATAAAAACTCTTTCTGCTCTATTAAATTGAAAGCAGATTCACCGCCCAAACACCTTAATTCTTAAAGTATTTGTGAAGTGGAAGGTGTAAAACAAGATAGAACAAGAGCAGAAAATCCTTGAATTTACCAAACTCGATCGGTGGAGTTAAAGAACGTCTAATTCCAATATATATCTATCAGGGTGTGGAAACTTCTTTTAATAAGAATAGTCTAATTAGTTCGTTAAATATCCAACATCAATTCATATATAGCGTTGAAAATGAGTTTCGTTTGAATAAGTGATTTTGAATAGTTTTAAGTGGTTTTTTTCATCACAAAACTTCTATGTATTATTTTATATTTTTCAATTTTAATGCATATATGTAGATATCTAGTGTATTTTTTTGTTCTACCACTACCAGCATGTACACTACAAGAAAACAAGAAATAACTAAGCGATTAATAAAATTCAGTAACTAAACAACATAAATTTCATACTAATTTTATTTAGCTACGGATTGGCGACTGATTATAAAAAAAATACAATTTATTTAGAGTTATCTAAGCGACAAATATATTTTGTAGTTAATTCTTTTCTATATGTGGTAGTTGCTAATACTTAGTTAATTCGGTGCTTTTCTTGAGTAAAGATTTTGTAAATTGATGCAATAGTGAAAGTTGTGGAGAAAGAGATGAGAAGAGATATTAGTTTCCCATCAATTCATTGGGCAAATTATCAACAATCAAATGAAGATGACCTCCACAATATTATAGCACATGCATGAGCAAGACTTGGTCTAATTTTTCATAACAATTAGTGTATCTGACAAAAACGTTGTAGAAGAAATTCCAAGAGAAGCAAAGATTCCTACGCAAAGTACGTAGACCCAGATTTTTGGAATAATCAATAATGTCCTTCGATTCACAATTAAGCTGCCCCATTAATATACCCATTGTCATCAGTCCCTTCGAGGGGGCGTGGAATAAAATTGTAACGAAATAGATTAGCATAACCTTTGTGCAAAATTATTGGCACAACTCGACAAATGCTCTAACTCTACGTAGTAATAATATAATCGTTGACCTTTAATTGACTGTCGACATAGTCTTTTCTTTAATCTTTTTCTTCATTTTTTTTGTCTAGTAGTCCAGATATCACGCAATGAGCTATGTTGTATACTTGTATTGCTTGTAATAAGAATATTAAAGGAAAAAGATTTTCTTAATTAATCAATTATAGCTCAATTGTTGATATTATAATTTCATAGTTATATTACTCCTATAAACAAAAGCTGAAGAAAATTAATGCTGAATTTTCAACGCGAGTGGACAAGTCCGAACATAGAACTTAAATAGCTTGTCTATATTCTCTTGACTAACTAGTCAAGGATATATACTGCTTCCTTTTCCTACCAGTTAGGTAACTTCAATAAGCAGAATCGTACGAAACAATTTAAGAAAGAGATAGCTCAGGGCCACAACTCGATTTGCAAATTATTTCTAAGTGTGACAAGACAGGCGGATTAGCTTGAAATTAGAGAGTTTAAAATGGGCTAATTTTTAAATCGAGTTGAATCAGGACTCTTCCAAATTTACTTTATACTAAGCTGGACAAAAATTGAGTTGATTTTTTATCCGCTTAATGTAAGCCATGTTGCCATACTAATATAATTCATAAAAAAAACAAAGGGACCAAATTCGCCAAAAGAAAATACAAAGAATATGAGATTTCATCCCGGCATGGATTGGAGATTTTCGACCCAGGACCCGATAGCTACCCGGGACTTCAGATTTGACCTGTTCCACGACCCTAATTTGGGACCTGAGTTTACTAAAACAAAGAAAGAAATATTATTTTTTTAAACAGACTAAGAGCGTGTTTGGATTGCTTCTAAAGTATGCTTATTTTTTTTTAAATTGCTTTTGAAAAGAAAAAAAATTGTGTTTGGCTAATTCATTTGAAAAATGTTTTCTATAAGCAAATTGTGTTTGACTAATTTTTTAACTAAATGCTTTTTAAGTGTCAAATTACAATAAAAGAACAAGTATCAATGTACTTTTAACATGAAATTTATTTTATACATAGAAATTATTTTAAATATCTATTATAAAAAAATTGATCAAACTTTTATTTTTATTGAATTAAAATGTACATATTCAGCTTTTCAATCAATATTATACATAGATAAATAAATAAAAATATTGATATATTCTTGATATGATGATTTAAATATAATTACAAATATCAATTATAAAGTAATGATAATAACGTAAAATAATTTAAAAAAAATTATATAAAAAAAATTCTTAAATGAAACTTTTACCAAAGTTATGAGATATGTTAATTAATTAATAAGGAATATATGAGGAAATATGTAAATATAGAAGGGATATTTTGGTCTTGTAAAAAATAATTTTCTGCTTCTGTTTTTGGTTTTTTTTTAAGAAGCCGAAATTTTTAGTTTCTTCCAAATTTAAAAGCAATTTTATTGATTTGTCAAAATCCTTATTTTTCAAAAAAAAAACTTTTTTTTTCAAAATAAATATTTTTGGCCTTCCAACAGTAATGTCAAACATGCTCTTAAAAAGATAGAAGTATGGTGTGTAGTGAGCTGCTAATCTCTATTCTCTCTTAACAACTTTAATAACTGTGTAACTGACTACTACTAAGTATTAACAACCTTAAATTTCTAATTAACTTTCACTTACAATGACTATTTTGCCCCTTCTCTACAATTGGTACATAATACTTCCTCCGTTTCATTTTATATGTCATATTTTTACTTTGTATTTGCATTAAGAAATGATGTAACTTTACCCTTATACCCTTATTTAATGTTTTCTTAAGTCAACTTTATTAATAAATGACAAGATTAATTAACTACTCTATCAAGGGTATAATAGGCAACATATAGTAATTTATGCATAAATTTTATAAAATGACAAGTATTGTGGTTCAGCTACTTATAGAAAGGGATGACATATAAAATGGGACGAAGGGAATACATATTAAGACTTTTCATAGGAAAATTAATTGTCATTGTTGTCTGGTCAGTAATAGATAGTAGATACAAGCATAAACATTTTATATTGGAGTCGGGAAACAGCTAGAGGCAAAGCCCATAACTGCAATATCTCTTCGATAAAACAAAACAGAAATTAGTATACAGCGATTGATACATTAATTTCTCAGACTAGATTATAATTTGATGGAGTAACTTGCAATTAGTGTATTGACAGGCTTTAATTAAGACGGGGTCTACTAGAAACAAACTTTTTATCTCTCTAAGGTAGAGATAAAGTTTGCGCTTATGTCATTCTATGCAAACCCCACTTGTGGACACTTGATATCAGGGGCAGAGTTACAAGCCGGGTACGAGTTCGATCGAACCCAGTAACTTTTACTCAAAATTCAAATAGTGTATAGTATTAAGCAGTTTATTAAATATGTATAAATATTATGTTTAGAACCAGTTATTAACATCTAAAATCATCGTTATAAAAATTAAAATTCTGACTTCAATCGATACATTTGCAATTAGTGTACTAGTACTTGCTACTGGTATATCCATATTTTTTCATAATTAGCCCAAAAAAACTGAAGACAGGAAGGTGGACCCTTATAGAAAATGAACTGACACAAGAACTTGGTCATCAATGTTTTAGATCAATATCATAAAGGGAACGCGTAAGAAAATTCTATAGAAAAAAAATAATTCACCTTTACACCTATATATACCTTTTCCAAAAAAAAATAAAAATATATATATATATACCTTTTCCATTTGTATTACTACTAATTAAGTATTATTTTCTTGAACTCTGATACCTCATCTTTTATTTTCGTATAACAAATATAGTTTCAGATTTTAACAATGGCATTGAAATTTTGCAGGTTAAGCCTCGTTGCACTTTTGCTAGTGGTCGGAACTCTCAGGTTCCGAGCTACTAGTACCCGTGACTTGCAGGTGTATTCCATGCTCGAAAGGCACGAAAAATGGATGAGTCACCATGGGCGCGTATACAAAGATGATGTTGAAAAGGCAGAGCGATTAAAGATATTTAAAGAAAATGTCGATTTTATCGAGTCATTCAACAATGATGCTGTTCATTCTTACCAGCTTGGCGTCAATAAATTTGCAGATCTAACTAATGAAGAGTTTCAATCTATGGTTGGTAGATATAATCTATCTTTCCTTCCAAAGACATCGAATTTGCAATCATTTAGTTACGAAAGTGAAAATTCCAGTCCTGATAGTTGGGACTGGAGAGAGCAGGGTGCTGTTACTCCTGTTAAGGACCAGGGTAAATGTGGTAAGTCCCAAATCAAAGTACATCCTCCTATTCAATTCAAAATTCAATAAGTTAAAAATACTAGAACTTCAAATTCTGGTTCCACATCCGACGATAGCAGGTTTAGACTAAACTTTCCTTACAAACGTAGTACCTAATTTATCTGCACAAACTAACATAGTGTATTATGCTACTGTAAATTGATAAATTACTACTAGCTACTATAAAATGCAGGGTCATGTTGGGCATTTTCAGCAGTAGCAGCAGTAGAAGGACTGAACCAGCTAAAAACTGGCAACTTAATTTCACTATCAGAACAACAACTTCTAGATTGTGAGTCCACAAACAACAACGGTTGTGGAGGCGGCGTCAGGAACGAAGCATTCCTATACATAGCAGAAAACGGAGGGCTCACAACAGAATCAAATTACCCATACACTGGAATTCCTGGAACTTGTAATAGCGAAAAGGCGGAATCAGCGGCCGTAACAATTTCGAGCTACAAAACAGTGGATCCAAGTGAATCAGCATTGTTACAGGCAGTAGCAATTCAGCCAGTCTCTGCAGGCATAAATGTTGGGAGTGACAAATTTCGATTTTACAAAGGTGGAATTTTCAGTGGGGAATGTGGGGAGAGTTCACATCATGCAGTTACAGTGGTAGGGTATGGAACAAGTGAGGATGGTAGTAGTAATTATTGGTTGGTGAAGAATTCATGGGGAGAAAATTGGGGTGAAAGTGGATATATGAGAATGGCTAGAGATGTTGTGGATGGTGGAGTTTGTCGCCTTGCTACTCGAGCTTCTTTTCCTACTGCTTAGTGTCAGGCAGAGGATTTCACAACTCTCTTTTATCTCAACACGCATAGCCATGTACCCTCCTATTATCTTATTCATCGATTTTTATGATTACACCGCGGTGCGTTATTCAAGTAATCACTCTAATTATTTAAAAATGCTTTGAGTTTTTTTAACAATAATTTGCATGTGTTCACATCACATAGAGTATAGAGTAGATGGTATTATGTGCCTCTTTGATACTTCTTATTGCCCTCTGAAAAATCTAATCCACAATTCACAATCAACCTTGTATTTTTCTTTTCATATGCAATTTCTTGTGAAGCAGAAGTTTTTAAATTTCTATATCGATTTTAAATAACTAGATTCACAATTAAATTTCTTGACATATCTACAGAATTTAGGCTAAATTTATATCCGGTTTAACGTGAGTCCATATATAACTTTTAGGGGTCGTTTGGTGTGATGGATAAAAGAACTTAATCCCGAGATAACTTTTAAGTGGCCTTTAATCCGTTGTTTGGTTGCAAAAGTTGGGATAACTTATCCCAGGACTAACAATTAGTTCTGGGATAAGTTATCCTTACCTGGGGTGGAATAGTAATCCCAGGATAACTTATCCTGGGATAAAGTAGGTAAAGTAACAAAAATAGCCCCCCTTAAACTCTCTTTTTTACACCACTTTACATTCATGTATATTAACATATTTTTTCACAACATTTATAATAGCATTCACAACCTTAATTATTAGTTGTTCTTATGATAATATATTTTTCCATTAAAAATTTATATTTTATAAATATAATTTTTATATATGAATATATTATAAGTTGAATTTATTTGCCTATTCTTATGTTTATTTTTATTTTGATTTTTCTTAAAATATTCACTCCACTACTAAATTGCATATTTTTAATTAAATAATTTACTAGTCACTTAAAAATTATATTTTATATATCAATTATAATGTAGATAACTTTAATGATAAAATTTATATTACTTTAATAAATTTAAAATGAAAGTTTTAGTTTTAAGCTAAATAAGATGAATGTTTAGTTTTAAACTAAATACGATGAAAATTTTATCTTAAAGCTAAATAAGATGAAAATTTTATTTTTAAGCTAAATAAGATGGAAGTTTTATTTTTAAGTTAAATAAGATGAAAGTTTATTTTAAAAACAGACGGTACAATCATGGAAATGCACACACAAAATATTTAAGCTAAATAAGATGAATTTTTTTTTTGTTTAAAAGAATAACTAATTAAAGCTTGCAAAGTAAAGTAATAAATAAATAAGGTGGAGGATATTATCGTAAACAAACAACTTATTCTTAAAAATTATGCAATGAATATAATTGAATACGACAACCCAAACAAGCAATAAAAACTAATCACAGCATAACTAATCTCAGCATAACTTATCTCAGCATAATTTACATTCAAACCAAACGACCCCTTAAGCTAACACCGTCCAATCCAATTGTAACGTAAGCCTCTGAATATTGTCTTGGCATCTTCCCAGGAAAGTCATTGAATACAACTGGAATTGCATGAGAAAGTTGGGATCGAAAGTCAAGCTTTGAACAAATTTAGTGCCTAGTTCACATGACAATCTTAAAGCCAATCAAACTAAATCTAGTTTCCAACTTCATTTTGAATGTTAAAAAATATTAATAGAATTTTGTATTTGATATTTTCATAACTAAACATTAATTTGTAAATAAAATGATAATTTTCATGACCAAACGTACGTCCTTAAATTGATATTTCTAATGTTGAACTTAAAAAGTAAGCAAAATGTTGATGTATATCGAATAGTTCAATTATTTAATATGATAAAATTAATTGTATAACTTGTTTTTGTAGAATATGCAAAGTCTATGACAATACGTGAAAATTACTCATAAAGTCATAATTTTAATTTTCCCCTTAACAATAAAGTGGTCAATACCACCCGAGATTGTTTGGTTAGAAGTAAGTTATGTCGGGATTAATAACATAAAAATTAATAATATATAATTTATTTATGCAATTTAATAAAGAGAATTATTATGTGATAATTTATAATGAATGCATTGTCATGTGGTGATTAATATGCAGAAAATTTTTAGACATGAATTAATTATGCTTAAAATGCATTTTATTTTTAAATAGTTTAATCCCTACAATAATAATATTTCCATATTTTTGTTTCACATTCTCATAGATAATTCATAGATGACCAGTGTAAATAATATCTTATAAACTTTAATGCAAAAAATAGTAACACATTTGTATACCTCAACAAATTACTAGTATGAGATTTTGTGTTCGAATCACTAACCAAACGCACCTCACACATTTATTACTTCTATTCTTCCCACCTCTCTTCGTCAAAGAACCAACAATAATAAATACTCCCTCAGTCTTTATGGTTGTATTTCTTTTTCACACATTCTTTAAAAATATATTATTCCATCCGTTCAATAATAGTTATTCATTATGAATTATATTATTATTTTGGAATATCCAACAATACATGTTCTCTTTAAGAAATCAATGAAAAAATTACATTTAGTTTCTAATTTACCATTTTCATTGATTATAGTCATTTTCGTATTACATTTTTCAAGACATTGTATTTAATTTATTATATAAAAAGGGTGATATAGTAAAATTATCCTTCTATTTATAGTTTCTTAAGGGGTGTGCCAAGTCAATAATGGATAACTATTATTGGACAGAGAGAGTAATTAGCAAGTTTTCCTTGACATTTTCATCCTAGTTTAAGTCTTAATATATAATTTTTCTTTGTTAAATTTTTACGTTATTGAAGTGTTGTAGTAACAATTGATACTAAGAATAAAATGAGAAAAAATAATTAATTTTGTTTTGAAATTCTAAAATAATAAGTACTCCATTCGTATAATTTTACTTATCCCGTATTTCGATTCCTCACATAATAATCTCCTCCTCATTTCCTTTTCTTCTACCCGCAATTTTTATTTTATTTTTCAAAAAAATATTACTTTTTCCCAAATTATTTTTCAAAACCTAAAACTAAACGTCAATTAATATGATATGTGGTAAATACTCATATTAATTATTTTTCATAAAGGGCCTACAAAATTCAAACATACTTATAAAAGTGAATGAGGGCAGTAATTTGAGATAGTATTTTTAAAATCAGATAATTTGAAATACAATTCATTTAAAGTTTGGCTCATCTATATCATTTCCGTTTGAGAAAAGTCTCATCTATGGCATTATTTATTAATTGAAATGACATAGATAAGTCAAATCTTATACTGATGACATATATGAACATTTTCTCAAAGTTTGATGACATATTTGAGCCTTTTTCTTTTTTTAAAAAAATGATTTAATTAATGACGTGGCCTGAATCATCATTAACTGTGTGTAAAAAATAATTTTGCAAAATTGAAACTTTTTTCAGTTAACAAATAATGACATGAATAAGTCTCTTCTCAAACGAAAATGACATAGATAAACCAAACTTTATACGAATGACATAATTAATCTTTTTCTCAAAAGTTCGATGTCATATTTGAACTTTTTCCTTAAAAATGGCAAACTCGTAAATAAGAAAAGAAAGTCAACTAATCCAACAAACAAGAACTTTCCAAGTGATTTCCTTTGTGCTTCTTAGAAACTCAGGCGTTTTCCAACAAATCAAACCTCCGAACAACCCAAGAAACAACGTCACCATTGAAACATCATCACCTCGACGACTTAACACGGTTTTTTTTTACCTGAATCCTATCAAACAAAGAAAGAGTCTTCAAATTAAATTACAGCTAAATTTTCAGCGTGTATATATATAACACGTAATGGCAGAGAATATAAATATCGGAGGTGCATGCAGTACTTGGACAAGCATTCAGAATGTTATCCGAATCAATCACACAAACCGGAAAAACATCCGTCTGTTTCGATTCCAATTTTCAACGATTAAATTCGACTTTGCTTTCAATAAAACCAGTGCTTGATGATATAGAGAGACTAAACAAAGCCTTGGAAGGGAGAGAATCAGAGATTGATATATTCAAGAAGAGGTTAGAGGAAGGTGAGAAGCTTGTTCGTAAAAGCGCGAAAATCAAACGTTACAATGTGTGTAAAAGGTGGTACTATTCGAAGAAATTAGCTGATTTAGAAAAATCCACAATGAAGTCCTTTGAGGTACATGGCTTAATGCAATCATGCAGGGATAGGAAAAAGATACTTGTTGCACTCAAAGAAGAAGGAGAGAAGTTGGATGAAATTTACGCTATTTTGAAGGACATGAAACTTAATAAAAAACCCCAAGGATCTCTACCATATAAAGTGAAGTCTGAGGAGGATATATTTGTCGTGTGATATTGTCACACAACGAAAATATAATACTATGCAAGAAAATGTTTTACTTATGTAGTCGAACAAACTACCATTTGAATTTTATTTCCTAAGTATTGAACTTTATAAACGAGATTTGTAATTGATCTTGAAAAATAAATGAAATTTCACTTTTCAGCTATAACAGATAAATGTGATTTGATAGTATAAAGTTTCCTTACACTAATGTTATAGTAGTATATAAATTAAACTCTTATAGGTTATAGGAAAGAGTCACGCATAAGGTGGTCAGTTGAAGTTATTCAGATTAAATTGAGTGTATTTATTTTTCTTTTTACACTGCGTCAATGAATAAAATTTGGAAAAATTAGGCAAATGACATAGTATAAGAAAGGAATTACTTTCTTTCCCTACTCTTTCATTAATTACCAAAAATCCCTTTTTTTTAGGGTTTTTCGGATACATAATATAGCAGTGTGGATACTTAATATAGCAGCGCGGATACTTTAATTAATAACGGGCGGATACTTAAATTATTAAGTTGTTAGCAGCACGGATACTTAATTAACGGGCGGATGCATAATATAGCAGCGCGGATACTTTAATTAATTACGGACGGATACTTAAATTATTAAGTTGTTAGCAGCACGGATACTTAATTAACGGGCGGATGCATAATATAGCAGCGCGGATACTTTAATTAATAACGGGCGGATACTTAAACTAATAAAGTATCCGGTTAAGTTGAATTGGGGGAAAATAAGGGATTTTTGTATTTTAATAAAA